ACATGGATTATCATAGTTTGCTCGAATTCAGCAGCTGTCTGACGCAACCGAGTTTATCAAGGACGAGGGAGAAGCTGTCAAAGCTCTCTGAATATCAGTGATTGAAATGTTGAATAAAGTCGTGAAATAACGGTTGCCTATAAATAAGGGTACATTATAGTTGTAATATTATGTCTTCTACAGCGTCCGCCAAAGGAACCTGATGAGTTTCAATATGAAACTACAAATGTATCTTTCAAGATATTTATTTTCATATATAAGTAATCGGAAGTGTATTACATGCCATTTTATGTTTGGAAAATAACTTCGGTCAAATGATGTTCTTCACTGCGGACACACTCTTCCAAACGGTTTCGCACGTTCCCCATTACGCGCTGTACCATACTCATCGGAATCGCGCTAATTTCATTGCGAATGTTTTCCTTCAATTCTTCAATGGTCCTTGGGCTCGTTAAATATACCTTGCTTCTGAGATAACCCCATAACCAATAGTCACAAGCCGTGAGATCGGGAGACCTTGCCGGCCAAGGAACATCTCCATTCCGCGAAATGACTCTTCCTGGAAACATTTCTCGCAGTCGAACCATTGTTGCTCGTGCTGTATGCGCTGTGGCGCCATCTTGCTGAAACCATATAGTATCTAAATCTATGTTTCGCCGACGAAGCTCTGGTTCCAAAAATATGTTTAACATTTCCAGATAACGTTGTGTTAATGATCACCGAGTCGTGATTTTTAAAATACGTCTCGACAACAAATGCGCGATGTTCACTTGTCCACAGCTCCATGACTACTGACATGGCATCTACTACCGATGTCTTGCCCACTGTAACCGTTGTTCTACGTCAAAAAACAGCTTCGTACTATCCATTCTGAAAACGTCAGGTTCCTTTGGCGGACGCTGTATATAAGTGGGACCAAAGCGAATGCGGCAAATAACAGGTAGATTTTCTAGCTATTATATTTGGTAGGATGTTTTCACTGTTTATGACGACTGTTCATGCATGGCAATCTAGTTTTGTCTGTATATCACGTACAGGGTGTTGTACATAATACGTACCTGTAGAAATGTACCGATTTTTGTTATTTTGCAAAAAAAGGATATAAAACTGATTCATCATCTTTTGATACATCATAAACAATGTTTGCCCATTTATGATCTAGAAATCCATACCAAATGTAAACAACTGCACACTATGCATTTCTGGGTTCTAAAACATCGATAGTTTGTTGTAAAAGTATCCGCATCCATTCATCGTCTAGATATTAAAAGTCAGAATCAGAAATACCTATCTATGAAAATATATTTCCAAAAATTGTTACATTTTCTTATTGTTTCTATCCTTATAACACGCCTGGGATATCAATTGCTTTTAAAGTTATCTGCAGAGTTCACAAACCGGAAAAAAACGGAATCGGTAAATAGTGTCGTTGAGTTCGGTATAAGGTAAATGCCGTCCCAAGGTCAGTGGTAGATCAAGGACCTTTGGATCATGAAAAACGTCTGTTATTGTATTGGGCGCGTACACAACATATTTTTGAGGGCATAGTTCTATATTACAACTTCTACAATGTGCATACTGGTGGCTTTTTCAAAGTACTTTGCAAACTATTCTGGAAACACCTTTTTCGATTCTTGCTTATGGGATTGTGAATATTTTTCTGTTTCCCCTGAACTCATTTCTCATTTTATACAAATATTTATTTCGAAAACAGACAGCTTTCGATTTCTTTATTGCTTGTCCGGTGATGAGGTAATGACGGTAATCTACCAGTCTGTACCTTTTTTATGCACAATTCAGGGCAAGCGGAAGGCATGAGGGTGTGCGTCCGTAATCATAGGCAACCCAAATCTACGCCTCTCATGTGCCCGACTGCCTGAGTGTGTATGCATATGTATGATTGATATGTGGCATAAAACTATGAATACTCCAAAAAATTAACTATTAGCTTTGTTTTTGGTTTAAGCTCATTTTCGGCAAGTATAGAAACATTTAAATTACTTTGAAAAATCGTGGAGAATGATATTATCGGTAAATATTCTCCTTCCGGTAAAAGTACCGAAAAGTCCAGTTCAAGTCCATGCATAGACAATCTGAAATTTGCAGTATGTATTTATATTCTAAATTCTATGCATATCCGTTCATATTAGTCAATATTTCATTTGAAGCTTTTATTTGTCATAAGATTTTAGCGAAATATAAGATAGTAAAGGCAACACCGCACCCTGCAGCCCAGTTGACAAGAACGGCAAGCTGTCAAGATTAGGGATATTTAGATCCACGAAAAGCATCGTTATGTATCGTTTCTCATCGTTTTAGGAAGTATCGATACTCGGAAGGAAACAAACAAGAAAACTAATCTGAAGTTATTCACTCTTTCTGACACAGTCCGGATCGAATGATGACGATACTCGTGAAATGTATCGATTCACCCCTGTGTCATATACAAAAATATGGATCCAAAATATCGGGTATGAGAAGCAAAAGTATCGATACTTCTAAATATAGGATTGTATCAAACATCTCTACTGTCACGATGTATCAGTTGAAGAAGATAATATAAGCATGAATAAACAATCGACAATATTAAATAAAAACATGAATTTTATTCAAAAATCGAACACTCTTTTAAATTTTGACTGAATTGTATGTAATTTCTTAATACTCAATAAGCTGATGATGTTTGTTGTCATACTTTGACAATATTTTGTTTTCATCATTTCATAGGTATTGGTTGCTGAAATTTGTTGATTGGATATTGGAGCTCATTCGCTGTATTTGACGGACTGTTACGCTGTAGGTGGAGAATAACGGACTGTTAATTTGACAGCCTTGGTGAAATCCACCCCAAATACGTCACGAATTTAAACATATAGTCAACGCCAAACAAAGTGGCGTGCACGTCATCACGATAAAAATTCCCCGACCTAATGCCTAGGTTTCTATCACAAACAATTGCTCTATTGCAGTTTCATATTAATGTGATATATAAATTGAAAAATGGTCATTACTCTCTTATTATGGTTAATAGTCATATAAACATTGTTATTAAAATATCACATAAGTTGCTTTCTGATAAATTTAGACGCATTATGCGAAATAAAATGTTTTGCAAACGCGCCAATCACTTATCGACATGTAAACGCACTAAACCGATTTCGCAGCGTTGACACATTGTCACCTTGAAACTTATTTAAACTGGGAACTGACATTTGTATTAATTTTGACACTGAATCAATTTGTGGCATTTCAAATCTTTATAAATCCTTTGGCCCCGCATACTGTAAATCAACAACTGTTTGTTTCAAAACAAAATTATTCATTTTACGAGTAGATAAAGGCAATTTTGGTATATAAAGATGCCCAAACAGTTAAATAGTCGGTGTAAGGAACTCGTGGCCTCGTTAATGCACTACTTTGAGCAAGAAAGGGACAACAACGGGCCTTTGTTGCCTTTAAATGCTGTTCAAGAGGTAGGTTACTAATAATTATATGTAATGTATATTAATAATAGTGAAATTTTATTTCATTTTTTGTAGCGTGTTGCTGCTGCTTTAAAAATTAGTTTAAGGACAGTTAGTCGTATTTCCGAGGGTGTGAAAAGTGATGCAAATTTAGAATCGCCCAAGAAAAAGCGGAGTTATATTAAACGTGTAACCAACACAGCGACATTGGATACAAGTGCCATTCGAGAAGTGATCTATAATATGTATCACAAAAGTAAGATCTTATTATAATAACTTATCAGAAATTTGCATTAATTTGTTAACTAAATTATAATGTCATATTACACATGGTTTCAGAAGAACAAGTTACGAGACAAACTTTATGGTCTCGATTAAGAGGGCATTATTTGATGGTAGGGCCACGTCTTTAAGGCGGTTGCTTAGAGATCCTGGATTTAAGTGGCTTAAGGACAATCCGCGACGAGGGCTCATGGAACTACCAAGTATAGCTTTGAAAAGGGTGGAATTTCTAAGGCAATACAATCAAGCCAAGGTTGAGGCCTTATACCAGTTTGTCTTCCTCGATGAAACTTGGATATTTCAAAATGGGACCATAGGTCGCTCTTGGCAAAATGGAAACCAAAAAAGCGTGAAAGCTATTAAATCAGATGGTAAAAGGTATGTACTTTTACACAATTTGCACTATAAAATTTAAAACTAATATATTTTAGATACATTATATTACATGCTGGAAATGAAAATGGGTTTATTGAGGGTAGTGAAGCGATATTTTCTTCGAAAACAAAATTGAGCGATTACCATGGAGAGATGAACCAGGACAATTTTTTGAAATGGTTTCAACATCAGTTATTAGAAAAATTGGAGAGTCCATCTATGATTATACTGGATAACGCCCCTTATCACAGCATGATATTGAACAAAGTGCCCAACAATGCATGGACAAAAAAAAATATCCAAGACTGGTTGACAAATCAAAACATACCATTTTTAAACACAATGTTTAAAACAGAGCTATTGAGTATTGTTGCTCGGTACATAATGCTTCTTAATTATATATATTTTGGTCGACAGTTTATATTTCTTTTGTTTATTCCTATTCTTAAAATAACTGCTTTTTTAGAAACAAACCACCTAAAATATACGTGATTGATGAATTGGCGGAACAACATGGGCACAAAGTTCTTCGTCTGCCTCCTTACCATTGTATCTTTAACCCTATTGAGTTAATTTGGGGCATAGCAAAAGGTTACTATAACAGACATATTGGTAGAGATGGTAACAGTGAAAAAGACTGTTTGGATATGTGGAACGAGGCTCTACAAACGGTTACCCCAGACATGTGGAAAAATAGTGTTCGACATACTGAGCAAGAAATTTTTAAATGGTATGAAAGAGAACGAATTTTTGATCGACCAGACATCGAACCTTTAATAATCAACTTTGAGAGAGATGAAGATTCAGATTCAGACAGCGCTGAAGAAAGAAACTCCGACTAACTTTATTGTACAGAAAAAGCTTACACCAGTAGCTTACCTAATTTTAGAATGCATTTTTCTGTATGAATTCTGTAAAATAAATACCATGCATAAAATTTGGAGGACCCCATTTGGATTTTTATTCAGTACCTTTAAGCTATCAATTAAATATGGTATTTTCATAGTGTCATCTGATCAATAATTGTCATACTTAATGATTATGCAAGTACAGATCTATAATTTTATTATACTATTATTTTTGTTCTCATTTGAGGTTAATATTGTTTATAAACCTAGATATGTAAATAATAAATTTTATTATTTTACAAAAAGTTTGGCAACAATGTAAATTTTTCAACACACCCACCTTGATGACGTGCACGCCACTTTGTTTGGCGTTGACTATACCTTATGGTATGTAGATTGGAAGATACAGACCAGGAACAAACCGCTTTAGTGATTGTTATCTATGCTTGATACGTCATTAAAACAGCTTATACGTGTACAGTCTAAACAACGAAAAATAGAATTCTTCGCAAGAAATTCTATCCTATACACTGACAACTAAACACCACTGACTTTTGTTTTGTGTTAATACCCTTCAAGTTGAATCTATTCGAGGAAAAATATAAATAAAGCGAACATATGGAGTTACCAACTCTATAAAGAGAAGGGCGAACGATAAGATGATTATATAGAACAAACAACCACATATATAAAGTGTTTTTCAGGCGATTTGTTTTTCCAAGAATTGACTTTCCGTTTAGATCCAAGTACAGATCCATTCGTCTCAGAGACGTTACTAATTTGAAAAACAACAAGACAGACGTTTAAATCATTGTACCAGTCCTCATGCACAAATGACTGAAAACGGAAGAAATATAGGGAAATATTTGGGTATAGAACTTTAGTAAAGCAGGGAAGTCATTGCCATTTTTTATGGTGTTATATCTCGTTTAAGCAACGAAGTGACTTTGATCGAGTGGAGTAAACTACTCAAAAAGTCGATAATTATTCAAAATAAAGTCCCAAGGATCTTTTTTCGAATCCAAAGAAACTAGCCATTCAGATCCAAACTATGTGGATATCAAAGACAATGTAGTACGTCAACAATACGAGGAGTGTTTCAAAAATATGATTCCCAACGCTGTGACTTTGCCGCGTGTGATACTAGGAGAAATCTGACAACACCGATCCCAACAAGAAGCGCCTAGTGGCGATGCTCTGTCCCGACCTAACTGCCATGCGCAATGGAGCCCTTTATCGCCATCACAGCCAGGTGGGAAATTCGAGCGGTTATACGATTTTTGCACGCGAAAACGTTACCACCCATAGAAGTTCATCGTCAGTTGAGTGAAGTATATGGAAAACGTGTTATAAGCATTCTATATGTCCTCAACAGGTAAAGTTCTTTGACGGCCGCATGGACATCCACGATGAACAGCGAAGTGGGAGGCCGTCGATCTCCGAGGAAGTTACGGTGAAGATTGAGCAAATGTTGCTGGAAGTTCGGCGAATCCCGATCCGGGAAAGGCGGTTGAAATTCCTGAGCCTTCTGAAAAAGCTGAAACAGGAAATTCCAAATCATCGTAGGGGAAAGTTCCGAGATTGAAGGAGCACCTGGACGGTCAATGGTTCAAGATGGATGCAAAATACCAAGTTTCCAAGCGGGCTGGCGGTGGACTACCTTGAGACGGAAATGAAAAGTGGATTCCATGTATAAAAAAAATCGTAGAAAAAGTGGCGATTATGTAGAAAAATAGCTTAAAGATCAAAGTTTCCAATGATTCCAATTTGCTTTTTCAAATAAAAGATTACTTCTGCTTGCAAAAAATGTAACAATGTGGGAACTTAATTTTTGAGACAACAGAGTATAAGTATAGAGACAATCGTGCAACACGTTTGAACAACGTACAACAAAAGTGTATAAAACACACTCAAAATAGGGACGAATATCACTGATAAAGAAAGATACAAAGGATACAAATTACGCAGGACTGTGAAATTTAACTTATATTTTCCTCATCCAATTATTTTTTTAAATACCTATGTATGTGAAATCATGCATATTTTGGAAGTCGTCAACAGAGCAAAAGGAATAAACTAGCAGATGTTTCTTCAGTTATGTTTTATAGTTAAATTGATTCGACTCCTTAAGCGTAGTGTTATATTTACGAAATTTTCAACAAACCTCACCAGCCAGCATCGACATCGTAATAGTGGTCTACACCTCATTAACATATTCACGATGGGGCATGTTTGTTTCCTATCTTGACTTGGTCTTATATGATTAAATATGGTTTGATGTAAGAATAAAGTTGGCATTTACGCATAAGGGCGGTGCAAGGTCAATTGGAATACCGCATTGCTATAGCTGTTTGATTCAATAATCAGTAGATGGCATGTGGAGTAAGTACAGTGTTGATCCAAAAGAGTCGACAAAAGACATGAAAGGTCGCCTAATTGTAAGATTTTGCCTCCCCAATACCAGTACTTCTGATAATGGTGCTATTCGCAAATTTTGAAAATGTTCTTGATATGAATTTTGGGATCTAGTTCTGGTAACCAACCTTCTAGTTCTTTTCCGTAGTTTAAGAATGTCATAAGCACTACTTATACAGTTGCGACCTCAAATACATGTACATGTTCTTAGGAAACATAAGGTGTACTTGTAACCAAGGCACGAATTTTGCCATTCCATCAGTGTTACAAAGGTGTGGACACTACTAAGACATGCCAGAGGATATATATTTTGAATAGTGTAAAAAATGTAACAATGTGGGAACTTAATTTTTGAGACAACAGAGTATAAGTATAGAGACAATCGTGCAACACGTTAGAACAACGTACAACAAAAGTGTATAAAACACACTCAAAATAGGGACGAATATCACTGATAAAGGAAGATACAAAGGATACAAATTACGCAGGACTGTGAAATTTAACTTATATTTACCTCATCCAATTATTTTTTTAAATACCTATGTATGTGAAATCATGCATATTTTGGAAGTCGTCAACAGAGCAAAAGGAATAAACTAGCAGATGTTTCTTCAGTTATGTTTTATAGTTAAATTGATTCGACTCCTTAAGCGTAGTGTTATATTTATGAAATTTTCAACAAACCTCACCAGCCAGCATCGACATCGTAATAGTGGTCTACACCTCATTAACATATTCACGATGGGGCATGTTTGTTTCCTATCTTGACTTGGTCTTATATGATTAAATATGGTTTGATGTAAGAATAAAGTTGGCATTTACGCATAAGGGCGGTGCAAGGTCAATTGGAATACCGCATTGCTATAGCTGTTTGATTCAATAATCAGTAGATGGCATGTGGAGTAAGTACAGTGTTGATCCAAAAGAGTCGACAAAAGACATGAAGGGTCGCCTAATTGTAAGATTTTGCCTCCCCAATACTAGTACTTCTGATAATGGTGCTATTCGCAAATTTTGAAAATGTTCTTGATATGAATTTTGGGATCCAGTTCTGGTAACCAACCTTCTAGTTCTTTTCCGTAGTTTAAGAATGTCATAAGCACTACTTATACAGTTGCGACCTCAAATACATGTACATGTTCTTAGGAAACATAAGGTGTACTTGTAACCAAGGCACGAATTTTGCCATTCCATCAGTGTTACAAAGGTGTGGACACTACTAAGACATGCCAGAGGATATATATTTTGAATAGGGAGTAGGACTCTTCAACCTTAAACATTTTTGTTTGTGCAGCTTTGAGCATCTTTTAACTATTTAATCATCTGAATTTCGGTTACACTGTATAAGCCAGGTGCAAGTCTACTAAACCTTAAACAATAAAAGTGTCCCAGGCAGGGGAATAGCCATTACCAACTTGTCGATGGGACTATTCCATCCCTTCTGCCGCCTTACCCGTCTCATACAAAGCATAATGCGCACTCATATGTCCCTTTATGGCAAGCGATATTTCAGTTCTGCGAACCGCAGAATGGGGTAGGTATAGAAACACGGACAAAATGAAGACACATCAAAGGGTAGGATAACTATTGGATCCCTTATATATCAGGTTTTTTCCTTTTCTGAGGCGGCGGATATTGTTTTTAGCCCAGACGCAGGGGAACAATATAGGAGCTGTTTTACACTTATAGCCTTGGTATAAGTATACAAAAGGGTAAAGAAAGAGGTTTTATCGTGCAAAATGTTCGAAACTCGAATCTGTTTTTGTATTGTGTAGGTCAATATGGTTACCAAGCTTTGTGATCACCCATTTCGAAAAAGGAGTTAAAAAACATAGATTGTGTTAAGTTTATATTGAGGAAATTATCCCAGCATGACCAACTACAAGGCTTAAGTCTATTGTTGCTCATACCTACATAGTGAGTTTTTAGTGTAGGCTGTTATTGCGCCAGCAGTAAGCTCCTTATATTAAAACAGATACCAGACGTTAGTAATAATAGTAATAATAATAATAATAATATCGTCTTTATTTACAAAGATACAGAGTGCGATTCATTATGAGGAAGTTTAGCTAAAGCTACTCTTACACTTAACCATATGAATACGAAAAAAAAGAAGATGGTATAGGAGAGACAAAAGGAAAATAAATTTTGGCTATTACGTTACAATGTCATAATAGTATTGAAAGCAGTTCATTCAAACAAGCAACTAATTCAAATGCTTACAAGCATATGGGCCCATAAACTAACTTATAAATGTACATATTATTAACAAAAATTAGACAAAGAAGAAACATTATAATGTAGAGCTCTGTAAATAGACCCTAACAGGCTTACGGAAACAAGACAGATTCATGGATTTGTAATTATCAAACTGTTTCCTACGACCAAGTGATAGATAGGTGACTTTTTGTTATTGCTTATTAGTCCGGTTTGAAGTCGAACGATCACAAAAAGATGGGAAAAATACAAATTTGGTGGGAAGTGAACTATTTTTCACGAATTCATCACGTTTTGATGTTTATTAGCGTAAGCACTTGATCAAAACCTGAGATATTTGCCTGCTGACAACTTTAGGCCATACCTCGAAGTTAACTGCCACCCTCTGCCTCTGAAGATAACAACATTAAATGTATTCAAATACAAGTTCCTTTCTAACAATTTGAGGATGACATCATTTATTACTTCTAAACGGAACTAAAGAAGATACAGGTAACAAAGCTTTACTCTTCTGCAAAGTGTTGAAAAATACTAGAAAATAGCCAACTAAAAGAAATGTAAAGACCAAGATTAGAACAGTTTTTGAGCCCTAGACATTATTCGACTATGCCCTAATAGGGATTACCGACCAAATAAATTATGTTAATTTTGTGAATGTTAGTATTGAAAAATTCTGTACTACCTCCGTTGAAAATGCCTTTATCGTCCTTTCGCCTAACCTAGGCGCGTAGTGAAATAATCCCATTTGACAAACGGGATTAATAATAGTTAGAAGTGAAGACAATCAATAGTTCCATAGAGGACAGAAGTTAAACTTGAAAGTACAATATCTTATACATATCCTGATAAACATGGTGTGCCTCAGGGATCTATACTGAGACCACAGTTTTTCAATTTATAGTAAGAGATTTGGCCTGTCATATCTCTGAGGGGCATATAACCACGTTTGCAGACGATGCCACTATACCTTTATCTGCAACAGTTAACGATCACCTTTATTCCAAAATTCAAAGCGTATTTGATGAATTCTTTACCTGGTGTCAAAGAAATCGGTTAATCTGGTATCCCTTTCTGATATTTTTCTACCCAAACATTTTTCTCAAAAATAATCAGGATTTTTGGTTTTTGGCACGTTTCTTAGCCGCCACTTTCATCCTTGGCATAGTAGTGACCTTGTGTGAAAATTTCATACAAATCCAAGTGGTACCTTCCCAGACGGGCCAAGGATTAGCGGATACATAGACCGATAGACAGACAGACTGACCAGCCGACAGAAATGAGTGAAATGGTTTTTCGTGATGTACCTACATGTATACATATAATAGGGAAAAACATATCTGATTGTTGGAGTGTTTCGCGATTACAATACGGCCTCGTACACTGGAGCAGGAAGTAATAATTAATGACACAAAAGGCATTTTAAGACTGAGTAACTGAGTATGGAATCTGTAACATTTAGCACGTAATTACATTCATGTACTCTTATATATATCTTGAGTTTTATTTATATTGTTATAGGGTTTATTTATATTTTTAAGTATTTCTTGTCAGATTTGAGTGATCTAAGTGATCAATAAATATAATCCCTGTCTGCCATAGTCTTCCCACTGCCAGAGTACTCGTATTTCTCTCAGTCCGAGTTACCCCGACTTGGTTTATGTTGTGTGAAATGTATCGTGAAACGGGGCCTACGGCTGGTCCGGATATTATTAAATTTTGATGGTGCAATTATGGAGGGCAGAATTTTTTAATCAAGACTTTGCTTTGTTTGGGATTACGTTATGTGAAATTGAATATCGCTGTAATGCTAAGGGAATGTTGAGCTACGCGATATTGCATTTTGCCATATTGAACTATACTATTCATTTGGGAAAGGGAGAGAGGGAGGACTGATGGAAACATGTCTGAATTGGTTTATTGGAATCTCGTAAAGTAGACCGGCACCTCACAGCATTTTACCTTACTCCTTATATAGCTTGTAGATGTCGGATATCTAATTGGAGATATACATACTAGGTCATCCACTGTAAGATCTGTTAGCCTGATTTTAGCACTTGTCTGCTGGTCAAAATAAAAGCTGTAGTTAAGTAGCTAGCTCACTTCCAACTATCTAAACTAAACATGCTCTGTTTTCGCCCGCCCGACCAAAGACAGCCAACTATGGACAGCTGTTTCGTGCTTTTTGGCTACTCATCAGCATGGTCTAGGTTTGGGTCTCAGGACAGAGGATGTTCAGCTTGTTCAATGACCACATTTACTGCATAACGCGAATCGTCGCCATCTAGCAGTCACGTGGAAACTTTGCTTCCAATTCGCGGACTGCGATCAGTCCCAACTGGTAGTTACTATTCTCTATTCGCAGTAGTCCATTGACACCATCTCATTTCGATAGATTTTAACTGTCTAGTTAAGGAATTATCATACGTGTTTTACGTTTCTGTCTATACCCTTGCTTACATTTCTACGAGCACCACTGCTACCATTAGTTCCTATTACTGGCCGAGAAGGGTAGGTTTGTAGAAGCAGTCCTGCTGTTCTGTCCGAGTAACTCACGCAATTAGTCAGGCCGCCATAACCTAAAAATATGTACACGGTAAATGGGAAGAGGTATGATATGAAAATGCCAGAAAGAACTCGTTAGTAAAGGTATATGCGAGTAGGAACACGACACCGGCTTGCTTTTAAAATGCAGGCATGATAAAAAGTTACCATCTGCATCGGGATGGAATGACTTTCCTTATGAATTGTGAAAGATGAAGCCTATGGATATCAAGGTATGAAGAACAGATGCTACTCAGTATACTGAAGATACCATAGCGTCTTCTTGAAATAACAATTGTGCAATTGCGCTTTTTTGAGATGGTTGATCCTGCTTAAACTTGTCTTTTGTTTTTCGTGCTAATAGTACTCCATGCTTGCGTGGCAGCTAAATAAAACCAATCCGAGAACGAGGTTTCGGCCACAACGGTGGCCTTCTTCAAGCACATACTAAAAATTCTGACAACAGATTTTGTATCGAAAACAAATTGTTGTTATCATCAATAAAAAGTCTGCTATCAAATCAGTGAGATAAATATGTACATTTTAGAGAGCTTTTAGTTTCAAAAATAGCGATCTCTTAAGGCTTTCGTTGCTTCAATTCTGACAGTTGCAGCAGAAACGACAATGAAAAAACAGTTTTACGACTACTAAACCGTGGTAATTCGAGAGTACTGGCTACCTACAGACATGACAGGTTGCTAATTTTTCGGATTTTGACGTGCTAACCCGAAAATTTCGAAACCTTGTTGAATTTTTTCGTAGAATAGTATCGGTAATTATTGGATAATGAGCAAGGTTGCAGTGCTCTTGTCGTTTCTTCTATTAGATCTTATTAAATTTTTAAATCAATCAACGACTTCATACTCCTCACACTTCAAAAAAAAAATGATCATTAATTATTTTGAGGTATCCCTTCCGCCATACACTATTATTGAGGATTCTGGCAATCTCTAGACATAATTTTGTGTTGTTTTCTTATATCTAATCCTAAACTAAGTACGTTACTGGTTCCAACAAAAGGTTCAGCTTGTCTATTTATAAGTAAGTTCGCAGTCTGAAGCTATAAAAATCAACCAAATTTAGATCTTTGAGAAATAAACTGGAAGGCGTGACAGTTCTATGGTCGATCTAGTAAGTAGATTAAGAATCATAGAACCGCAGAAGGACAAGTGACCACAAAACCAGCAGGACTCCGATAGAAAGCTACCTTGCCACGATGCATGTATATTAAAAATCAGGACAATTTAATTTATTTGAAACACTGGTCATTCCTTGCATCTATTCTTATTTGTGATCTAAAATTTATATTTCAATTATACTCAGTGACATTAGAAGTGTTACACCCAAAAAAAATAATTTCTTCAACTGGTTTCTTTTGCAACATAATGACCATATTTAAAACATGATGTGTCAACAATGTCACCATTTTATCTTTGTTTTTGTTTACCTTTGTTAAAATATTATCTGTTAGTTTTTGTGAAGAAAACAGTTTCTGACTGCTGAGTAGTACAAATATTTTTAGTTATTGCCCTTTCATTTACTAGTGTTAAGCATAACAAAATACCTCGACCTCGAAGACATCTAAATTATCACCAAGTTAGCGTTTTTGACAGTGGTAGAATTATTGCCTATCAAGATGTTGGTTTGTCCTATCGCGAGATTGGGCGGCGAGTTAATTGTACTGGAATGACGGTAATGCGTGTGTGGATAGAAGAAGGTGGAGGAATACGAAGAAGGCGAACGGTCCCGAGGCGTACCACAAAGCGTCAAAATATCTTTCCTTATCAGGTTAACCTGCTGTTTCCACTCATTCCTGTGTGGAATTGTTACTGAGTAGTGTTTAGCATATCTTATCATCTTTGACATTATATCAGGAGGCATTCCCAGACTGGGGTGGTTTTGTATGTTTACCAACATGTCCGTCTCCTCCATAGTAATATTGTCCATTATACCATTTATTTGCAACATGATGACCTTCTTGACTCGCCTTCCAGGTATATGTGCAAGAGGGTAAATTAAGACGGACCTCCATAGCTGCAGTTGGTGTGGCACGACAGGCACCAGTGATGAACATACAAGCTTATCTCTGTATTGCGCTCAGTTTGGCTTGGACAGTTCATTGTGCTGCCTTGCCCCATCAAGCTACAGATCCATAGGTTATCAGACGGTTCCCGTAGTCTTCGTATTACATAAAACAGCTTAATAATTATATGTTGTAGCTAAAGTGTATGTTTGCGTTGGCTTAATTTCCAATCGCAGAACCCGAAAGCCAAGAATATGTGTTACCGTCAAGCTCAAACAGAATGATATGAAATGCATTTGAGCAACAGATGGTGTAACTAACTGCGAGTCATATAGCAGTTTGGTGAACAGTGAGTTGTCTAATACTGATTTACCAATGTAATTTCTCATATTGTTGTCAGAAGTTGAGATAGCAAAACGCGTTTCAAACATATAGACTGCAACAAAATTTTCAAAAATAACATTTCTTATCGACAACAGTCATATTACTAGCTCCCTTATCTACACAGTTTACTGAATGCATTACGTATCACTGCGTGAGAAAATTAATAATTACGATATATTATAGTTTAGCTTATTACACTAGAGCCTCTTCTACGACAATTTCCCTGTCCCTTGTCTCTTATGGCAAAAATACCCGCGTTCTGCGGCTTACTAATTACAAAAGAAAACCCATAGGGCAGAAATACGGAAAAGCGGAATCTTAACGCCAGCCACTCGAAACCTCTTCTCGCATTACCCGGGAAAATGTCACTGGAATGGGACGTCACAAGAATTACCGAATTATAAGGTTTTTGCTCTGCTTGGATGTGACCTGGAAACGAAGTGCTCTTCAAGCTGCTCGCTATTATTTTATTTATGAAAATCTTCCGGGTTGCTTTTCGCGGCTCCCGCGTTGTTCTCGTCTGAAAGTGTAGAAACGTCGAGCAGTCTTGTGTCTGTAGTATTGATTCATCCATATCTAGGCTTATCGTTCTTCGGACAAGGAAGAGTTTTCATAGCCACATTCAGGCGACTCAGCTTGGTGGACATATATCAGCGAGTCAGGTGACAGTTACGTTATTGACTTTAGTGAGCACTCATTGGACATGTACAGTATACATCGTTTAACTTATTGGTACAATAATTTCAACTATTTACTTCTAAAAAAAATTATTTTCTCAAAAACATTTTAGATACACTCTAGTCGTAAAAAATACATACCTATATGAAATCACTTAGACCTATAACTAATAGAACATCAGAACAAATAAAAAATGTGCGAATAAATGCGCGAAGTTAACAAAGCAACAATTGAAAGATTACCATTGGGTAACATCACCTTTATTTTTTATTACGGCTAAAATTCTGTGGGGCATAGTGTTAACCAAGTATTGGCAAAAACTTGGTGTAAAAAAAATCCCATATTTCTTGAAGCTTTAGTCTCAGTTCGGTGATGTTGTCGTAGAACCTTTTTCATCTCGTGCCACAAAGTTTCAATAGGTGACAGATCTGGACTGCTAGAAACCCATTTCAAAAGTGATACATTATTTTTTTCCATCCATTTTATAGCCTTTTTTGAGGTATGGCACGCTGCACCATCTTGCTGAAGCACAAAATCTTGGCCGGATGTCAAACATTCTTCCATCACTGGTAAAAGCGATTCTTCTAAAATTGCCAAATATTTGTTTGTATCCACATTTCCATCAATAAAATGGTGTTTTCCTACTCCCTTTGATGACATACTGCCCCAGACTATAATGGATGCTGGAAGTTTCACTTTTCTCTTTAGACAGTCAACATGGAATGCTTCACTTTTGCGAATAACTCTACTGCGACTGTCACCAACACAAACCTCGAATCGGGCCTCATCACTTCACTGTATTGCACACCATTGTTGAGGTGTCCATTGTCTATGTTCTTTAGCCCATCTAAGCCGATTTTTCTTTTTCAGTGGAGTTAATAGTGGCTTTTCTTTGGCCTATAAACAAGTTGTGCAACTTTAGGGTTTCTACTTCACTTTTTTTATAAGAAAACTTACATTGCAAGTGCTAAATCTCAGTTTGTGGGCCTCTCTATGAGTTGTGGAACTCGAAATTCTCCTTCCAATAGCGTCACTCCACACAGCACTTAATTGTAAATAATTGACACGCCTGTTTTTCACGATTATTCTCCTTAATGCTCTTCGGTCGGCATTTGTGATATTAGTTTTTTCCACATATCGTGGCTTAATATTAGCTGAATCAGTCACGTTATATCTTCTAAAAATATTTCTCACACTGTACGGCGGTAAGTCTAACAAAGTTGCAATTTCTGAGTTTGATTTCCCAGAATTAAAAAAATTTATTATCACTAACCGAATTTTCTTACTAATAGCCTTTCCTCTACCCATTTTGAGAACCTTAACTACCCAAAACTATTTTAAACGTATTCTGACAGCTGTGATTAATTAAAACAATTGTCATGGCTTTTATTTTTCACAGCCACCTATGCGTTATAGACTTATTTTGCATTGAAATGAAAATAGGTTGATATGCTGTAATTGCAACATGTGTTATTTTTATGCTGCAAATTTGATTAGGGAGTGATAAAGTTCGTGTTTTCTACTATATATTATCAAACTATTAATTGTCAATATTTTAAACCTATAACACCCTGCTACATTTTTATTATTTGTGTTTGATAAGAAAACAACTAAGATTTCTATAGTTGTCCAACAGAAGTGGGAAGGGGCTCGTATACATTTGATGAGTAGGAGTTAAAACCTGTAAGCTTATTATTAATATTACCGTATAATTGCTGAAAACGATCATTATTACCAAGCATTCTTCAATATTCTAGTTCGAGGAAGATCATTTCAGAGGGAGGTTCAGAATTATTATAAGATTTCTCTGCCATTTTGGAACTTGCTGGTAGTTGGAACAGTGATCTGATGTAAGGGTTAGCTTTGCTACCTTCACTTTTGGCAACCTCAGTGAGACCATCTCTGTTAAACCAATGCGTTTATAAAGACTAGTCGAATGAATATTATAAG